CTGCCGTCGATGGTGCCCTCATGCTCGTTCTGGGCAAGGCTCACAGGGCGGGACGGAATGGAGCTGGCCATGGTGTGAGATTGAGAGAAAGTTGAAGATTGCTGTACAGTTTGACAGACTCCTCAAAGGTTCATGAGATGATGTCGGCATCGCCGGTGGCAAAACGACATGATGAAATTACTGCTCCATGCTCCATTCTGGATGGGAGGACTTTTTGTTCGATGCTCCATGCTAGATGTGGGGATTTTCGTTTGATGCTCCATACTAGATGTAAGGTTTTTTTGTTTGATGCTCCCTACCAGATGCGGGAACTTTTGTTTGATGCTCCATGCTACATGCGAGGGATTTTGTTTGCTGCTCCATACTAAATGCGCGGATATTTTGCTTGTTCTCGATGGCAGAAGAAGATGTTACATATACCAGGATATGCTTATGAACACAAATTCAACTACGAGACGAAAGGGGTGTGACAGCTTTTGTTTAAGCTAGCAAGCCAAACACAAAGCTGCATGCGTTTCCACATGTTCTCAGTGCTTGCAACAAGTTTTTGTCACTCGTGCTCGACAAGTCAGACGAGGTTTGACAGGACTCACAGCTACTCAGGCAAACGACTCGTGCACATTTGGCACGACTCACGACATTAACACATAGCGATGCTTTGTATGTCAAAAACTCAACCACTGGACCACTCTCAGGGGTACCGCGCAGCACATTACATCCTCAAAGCCAAACAGCGACCATCTCGGTCTCGACCTTCTCGGTCACTGTACTTCGTCAGACCAACTGCCCAAAAAGGAGGCGAGTCATCAGCCCGTCACATGGACAAGCCCACAAGTATGTGAGAATCGGCCCCTACCCCACTCAGCGGGACAGGGCGGACATGTCTTCCTCACTCATGAACTGATCGCGGCCGCGGGCTTCTTTGTAGACCGATTCGCGGTACTGCCTGGCGAGGTCTCCTTGCATCAGCATCATGAGCACAAAAAAACGAACAAACATATTCAACAGGCAAGAGCCGTTTGGAAGTACATCCATCTGTACTTCCCAGTCCACTGGTGCACACGGCATGGGGCCAAGTGGAGGTTCTTGACAGGATTCATGGTCCAAAACCAGAAGAACTTGCGTTCTGCTCCGTACATACAACGAAAAAAGCTTGATATGTTAGCACAGCATTTCTTCGCGAACACGACATAATCGGTTCAAGCACGTCAGGTGGAAACACACCCGCCAGATGCAACTTCCACGTGGTGTCGTCGAATACCATATTTATCTGCTCTCACTCTCGGGCTGAGCCATGCTGAGCCGCGTGATACCGCAGGGCTTTCGATTTGGGGACTAGTGTTGAAGAGCACTTTAGGTTTGAGGTTTTCGGTGTATGTTAAATGGGGTGGGAGGGGGGAAGTCTGACGCACCGGCTCGAAGAAATGCTGCGGGCGGTATCTGGGCACGGCAGGCACGGATCTTGGGGGGGGGAGGGGGTGAGCTTATATATGCATCTTGGTTCTAAACATGGCCAAACTGTAAACCACAAAACACAGGACAAGGATGCAACATTGAAGATACAACTGCAGGGGTCCCGGCTACATCACGGCAGCCAGCAACGTAATCAAGGGGATCCCTGCCCAAGCTATACCGCCCTAGCGCAAAACGGCGCCGCTCCTGGGTTTATTCATACTTCAGTTTAGTTCGCAATTCTTACTGATGCGCACGCGGTATGAATTTTCAAACATGCACTAGACATTCTCTTTCGATTCATCATCGGTCCTTGACCTTTGATACCACCTGAGTTTCAGTTAGGTCGCTATTTATGCGGATTCCCCGGGGGGGGTCTGGAATGAACGCTACTGGCATGGCATCTTGTTCTCACTCTTCACTGTAGAGTGAATAAATGAAGAGAACTGTAGAAGTAGCAGCTACTTGTAGCATAAAGTATGCTCTCCAACGGTGGTTGCCGACATCCCGACTGCTGCCCGGGATGAAAATTATTGTGATCAATATTATACTGAACAAGGATCAGCGCGAGTACTGCATCTTCATCTACTTATGTAGAGGATCATAGGCACTTGAGAT